AAAAAAAAAAAGAAAAGAAAAAGAAGAAAAACCAAACCAAACTATAAATACATCATGTCTGGACAAATTTTACGACCCGCCAACCATGGTTGGACCGACCACAATTTTCACAATCATCACCACCAACAAGATCAAAACCGACTCGACTTATTGCGCTACATATATACGCGCAAACTTGGAGAACGAAATGAATCAGCTCGATAAAAAAGAGAAACGTAATTACCAAGCCAAGTTCGCATCATCACGTGCACCCGCGAACCATCGTATCATCGTTTGATGCGTGTAAAGCGGTTCAGAAATATTCGCGGAAGCTACTTCAATCATTATCAGCGATCATCATCATTATTATTATTATTGTTATTATTATTATTATTATTATTATTATCATCATCATCATCATCATCATCATCATCCCGCTTTAACGAATCGCGATAATCGCGATAAGTCCCCCGCATCGATTAAGATACGAGGGGAGGGAGAGGAGGGGAGGATAGGTGAATAGATCCAAACGATAACTCGTTAAATTTCGTCTCGAAACGGCCGATAAAAGGAGAACGAGATGGCGAGACGATGAATCGTCAGGATCCGTCAGGATCCATCGATATTTAGCCTGTTAAAGGGGCTATTATTTAAAAATAGAAGACGCGATCGTCCTTGTTCCACGGGATGAGAGCACCCATAGCCGAATGGGAACGTAGGTTGGTTAGTTGGTTGGTTGGTTGGTTGGTTGGTTGTGCTCTGTGTGGCGGTGCAAAAATAAGCGGAATTTATTTCCGTTGTTCGAGAGACAACCGGGGCGTGAAACCAGGGGGGAGGAGAGAGGGGAGGGGGAGATGGATAATCGAAAATACATCGGGCTACAAAAATACACCGGGAGAAAACACTTAGGAATTTATTGCGAAACGTGTCGCTTCTGTCGTTCTTCCTTTTTTTTTTTTTTTTTTTTTTTCTCTTTACATGTACACGTGTTTTTCTAGTTTACGTGATACGATATTGGTAACCTTGCTTGACAGAGTGTACGTGGAAGACACATCTTTCACTAGCGTCATAGAAATATTTTATTCGCCTCGTCCGAAGATCTTGTTTCTCGAGACTTTTGTAATTTTGACGGATGTAAGAAAAGAAGAAGAAGAAAGAAATATTCGATTCGAACTTGTGTTTTTTTTTTTTTTTTTCATTGCGAAAGAAATTAAATATAATTGGATAACTGGAAGGATGAAATATACTCTCGACGAGGTCCCATTTCGGAAAAATTCTTGGTCCAGTTTTGGAAAAGTTTTTCTTTAATCCTCGTTAAAACGAGGCGATTAACGTTTTATGCTTTCGAACGAGATTTTTGCACGGTGATTGGAATCGATTTTTATCGACCAATAGGAGGACGATAAAAGTAGAAAGCGAAAGCAATTCTGGCTCGTGGATGCAAGTGGAACGGCTGTTAGCGAACCTTTGGACGACGCGCTTGAAATATGAATTTCGTAAGCGTGCGTGGAATGTCGCGTGCGGAATCGTTGAAATCTATTCGAGCAGAAGAAACTCATCCGGAAGATCGTTCTTTGGAATCGCGTTTCACCAGGAATTCGAGGCGAGAGATTGAGACACGGTGAATGGAGATGTTAGCATGAATTGAAGATTCGAAGTAAAATAAATTGAATCGAAGATCCGAGTGCCCGATTAAATAATGCAACTTGCACGTCTCAATTACGGGAAAATCGGTATGCAATTCTATAATTGATAATCCCTGATCAACGATAAATAATAATTTGGGAAACTCCATTCATCTTCGTATGTATTCTTAACTTACTTTTTTCCAATATTAACGATCACATCGTAAATTTATATTTGTTTCAAACTTTCCCGCTAATTATTTATTGATTCCAAGATGCCAAGTATGGAACACTCGTTGCATCGTTGATATCGTTGATCAAATGTATATAAGATTCATCTTTTTTAAGTCGAAAAAAATTCTTGTCAAAAATCCGTTTACGAAAAGTAGCGATCAAACGCGAAATAGACGAGTCACGTGGAACAGCAAATTCTCTTGCACGCCACAACAATTATTAGAAAATGATTTTGTTTTTTTTTTTTTTTTAATATCTTATTATCGAGAGAACGAAAACCAAAAAACGGTTATTATTGTTAATTACTGTGACGTCGATCGTCGAGTCCGAACGTTGGTAATTTTAAGAAAAAAAAAAAAAAANGACAAAGGAAAGAGAGAACGCGAAGGAAAGAACAAAAGAGGAGGAAAAATCGAAGTAGCGATTCGCCTATTAACGAGTCGATTGTGGAACGAACGGAAACACGGGTAATCGAGAATCTTTAATTGCAACCGTTAGAGAAGGTGACATTGTGGAAATGGCGGAGATCGTTCTGTGCACTTTGACTTTCCATCCAATTTGACTCGTGCCATTGGACGCGCGCGCGGTAAAAGAGCACGAAATATTTCGAGAAACGATTTCGGAACTGGTTTCGCCGCATTATCGTAAAAAACGATGCCGGTCGTCCGGTTTTGCAAACGAATCGAGAAAAAGGGGGTCCTCCTCCTTTGATCGCTCGAATATCCGGGGTAAATCGAGCAAATTTTAAACGATGGGTATTTCTACTATTTCTCGATCGTCCATGATTTCTTGCCTTCTTTTCTTTTTTCTTTTTTTTTTTTTTTTTCTTTTTTTTCCTTTGATAGAACCTCAGAGATAACTCGAACGGTTTTTCCTTGAAAAAAAAGGAAAAAACCCCTCGTTCCTAAATGATTCTCGTCATGCAAGAATTACCGATCTTATCGTTAAAAATTGAACGAGCGAAAGAAGTATGTTTTTCTTTTTTTTAAAATCGTAAATAGCAGTTTGTCATTTTTAATTTAAACAATTTAAATTGGTAATCTTTGGTAATTCGTAGAACGCGTATCAATCGCGTGTCCAGGAGACCCTTCGTTTCGAAATTGAAGAGAGACGCTTAATCATATCGCCGCCTTTCCAAACCTTTCGAAACCGAAGTTCACAAAAAAAAAAATGTTGAAAAACAAGGGAAAAACGAGTCTGAGCCAATCTACTTTTCCATCGTTGACCGAAATTCGTGGAAAACGTGTGTGGGGAGCGTGTGAAACGACACGTTTCAGCAGGAAAATGGATTCCATCGCTGAGAAAGGATAGAGAGGGGGAAGGGGAAGGGGGAAAAAAAGGAGCCGGCGTCTAATAATTCACCACGAAGTCAAGCTATGAAGATATCACTGGTCGATCGAGCGGAATAACTTACAGTTGAGAGAGTAAGTATGTAAGTACATACGAAGGACTCGTTGAGTTTAAAGTTGTTATCGACGATATTCGAATAATCTCAACTGAATTATCTACGCATTCCAACGTAATCAATCCTATTCAATTTATTTTTTTCCTTTTTTCATAATAATTATTTCTATCTAATAGAGGAAAACTCTTTGGAAAAATGAGAATCCATAAGAAGAGAGAAATGAATATTGAAAAAAAATTTGCGTGAAAGTTTTAATTCCATCATTATATTACGTCTATCATTATATTTTTATATATTACAATCAAATTTAATAAAATAAACGTGGAATGACAATGATCGTTTTTCAATTGCAATCTCTTAAATATATTTTTTAAAAAAAATTAATAATAACAAGAAAAAAAATAGTATTTAGATATCAAGAATTCAGATACGAAGAAATAATCTCAGACTTATTATTATTTTTCTTTTTCGTGTTTTATAGAAGAAAATTTTTCAACGATTACGTTACGATCGCAAACAAAACGAGACCGCGAGGTATTTATGCATTCGCGCGGAATTAATTCAGATTTAAATGTGCAAAAAAAAAAAAAAAAAGTATTTTATATACATATATGAAAAGAAAGAAAAAAAAAGAATTATTATTCCACGATTGTTAGGACGAAAAAGGAATCGTTAATCGAGTCGACTCGGGATGAAAAAGTCTATCCTAAAGCTATGGCGCTAAACGTAGAAATGTTTTCACGCGTGGTAATTCCGCGATGTAAACGACTCTGAAATGCCTGGAGGCGAATTATTTGGCATGAATTTCCACGGGCTGCGCAGCTGCGGCCACGATGAAATATTCATAACGCGATTGAAGAGCTTACTACTTTTCGCTCGATTCGACAAATGCGCGCGTAACCGGAAATTTTTTAACGATATACAACTCGATAAGAGAAGGGAAAAAGTAAGACGAGTTGTATCGCGAATACGTAAACGCTAAGGCAAGCGCGATGCTCGTTAAACCGCATCCACGGTTAAAGCGTTGCGACACCGTTGATTGAGAACGACGCCATTTGCATATTTCTTTGTTTCTCCGATCAAACGTCTTTCGTGGAGTGACGTAAAAAGAATATTTCCATATTTAGTTGTTTACATAAACACACATTCTATCGCGAGCGTTTATTACACGTGTAAATAAAAATATCGCGGAATATCGAAAATTGGACGATCAACATTTTAAGGATTATTTTTTTCTTCTTCTTCTTCTTCTTTTTCTTATTGGATGTAATACGTAATACTATTTTGTTATCTTAAGTTTCGATCGATACTTCGATAAAAAAAAAAAATGAATATCGTTATACTATTGCTGGATTACGGAATATTTAGACGAGATAAA